CAAACACCCTTCGTCTCGAGCCTGGAGCATAACCATCTGAATAACTGTCACTCGGAGATGGTTTGCCACCGTCTCTTAACAACATCCTTTCTTCTTCTCTGCCTCTATAATAACTTCCGTTTTGCCGCTCACTCGCATATTGCCTACCACCGTCCCTGATCGTCACCCTGTCTCCCTCTCTGGTTCCATAATAACTTTCATCTTGCCTATCATAGTTCCTTGAATGGTTCATTCTTGCATATCCAGGGTCGTATGAAGGCTCTCTGAAATCCCGTTCATCGTCAAAACCATTCCAAACTGGGCGGCTGTCGTTTGCATGGTCCTGAACATCATTAGGTTGCGGTGAGATCGGCCCTCTAACCCTTCTCATCTCTTCTTCCTGGTAGTGAAATCCATAATCCCCAGCACGACTAGCTGGAGGCAAATGTGGGTCCAGCAGACTCGGTATTGCTCTTTGTGGACCCTGACTAGGATAACTTCCATATGGATGCTGATGACCACTACGAAAATCATCCATAATTGTTTCCCCGTCTTGATCACTAGAATAATTCTGAAAATTTTTCACACCAGTGAAATCATCTGCAGCCCAATCAGACAGTTCTCCTTCTTCTTTTTCTTGAGGTTGTCTCTTCAGTTTCTGCTTTTCTGGGATCTGCGGTTTGTGTTTTTCAGACCTCGGAAGTTTTTCTTTACCTGGACTCGCTAATTGTTTTTTATCTGGACTCCATTCTTGTTGGTGATCTCTACGCCACTTGTGTATATTCTCCTGGTGACTGTCGCCATGCAAGTGACTTGTAAATTCCGAAAGTCTTGTAAACTCTTGTTTGCATAAGCTACATGGATGCTTGCAATCACTACAAAAAAGGAGGATAAAATCCATTTTATTAATAAGCAAGCAAGATGTTTATCTCCATAAGGTAACTCCTGAAAATTACTTACATGGATGTTGAAGGATAAATTCAACCCTTGCAATAAAATTTGTTGTCCCTATGTACAAGTTTTAAATTCAGTGCCATTCATTATCAAAAACAAACCAGAAGAACAATTTTTTGTTTGTGGTTAGCCTCATAACTTTTTTTTTCACGTTTCAACATAATTACCTTCATGACTACTTGACTACTTGTCTTTTCCTTTAAGTTTTTTTTTACTATTTGTTTTTGCATTTTCTTTTCTTTTTTTTTTTCTCTGTTCCTTATTTTGTCTTAGTTTTTGGGTGGTGAAAACTATGGCATTTAAATTACTGCACTATTGAGGTGTCCACAACAACAATTCACCTGACCTACTTTCTTAGCTTCTGTCCTTACCAACATGTAAACATTATGAATGTAAAAATACGGACTAAACTGTATATTTGAACCAATACTTTTATCCTGTATGTACGGGTACATGCGCAGTCTACATTTACCCATCAAAATACAATATTTAGAGACAAATACATCAGTTTTGAGACATTGATCAGTAACAATCTCCACCATTGTCCCAATGAATTGCTCCTTTCATGTAACAATGTAAGGGCAAGGAAAACTGTCACCAGCTGTACTCAAAAAGAGTCAGAGTTTGACAACAAATTTATTTCAGATCTATTGCTTATAATCTCAGTCCCTTTGTCCCAGTGAGCTTGTCACAAAAAAAAGAGGTTTGCAACCCAGAAGTAAACAAAACTAACTTGTCCTGCAGCAAGACTATCAAATCTAACACTCTTATTTCAAAGACAAGATAAGGTATTCCAACAAATTTACATATTTTCCAAATGAATTATCTCTACTTTTATAAACTAGACTCTTGATACTTTATAATTTAGGTCACTCTGACTTACGCTCATATGTCAGGTTTGATACTCTTTACAGAGGCCAATTTACATTATCAACTCAGTTGATAAAACCAAAATAATCTTTTTAATAACTGCAAAGCACCACAGTTTCTTTAAAAAAAAACCCTCTTTATCAGTTTGTAAAATTATTTGTGTTTATAAGGACATGTGGTTCAGATACCTATGCTGTTGTGAAAGGGGGGCTTTTTTTCTGCTCTCTACTTAATGCATCACAGTAAAATGATTTCCTCTTCAAGACAGGCAATCACGCAGGCATCATCATGCATCACCTCCCAGAAACTGCTACACTGAATCCCAAGGGAAAGTATACAAACCAATTCATCATCAAATAATAGTGACTAACAGCAGGGGAAAGGAAAAGGTTGAGATATCCTGACTAACAAGTACATTAAGGAAAGCAAATAAGAAGACATTCTAGTCTTCTCAGACCCTAAACTACAGGTAACATCCCCTGCATCTTCTCTGCAATGGTTAGAGGAGGATGTAAAGAACCCACACATTTATGGCAAAAAGCAGGGAATTTAGCTCCTGTTAATGTGGTCTGGCCTTTTTATTGTTTAAAAAGGCCCCAATTTAAACTAGTATAATAGCTAAACATGGCTAGCCTGTCTAATTATTACAAATAAATAAATAAATAAGTAATTAATCATTAAATAAGTACAGTTCCATATACCTTCCCTTTTCCTTGCTTAGGTTTGTATGGTGTAGTATTGACCAAGTGTGCTCCTCCAGTTCCTATCAGGAAAACATTAACAGTGAGTTAATTACCTTTTAGGTTGCACATCCAGAAAATATTTCAACTGCTACATGGGATATATCATTTTCATCCATGAATGACAAAAGTGAAAACAAACAGAATGTTGTTCTTATCCAGCAAACTGTCACTTCTGCAAGCTTTCACAAAATCTGTCATCAATCATCTGCATACTAGAATGAAATTGAATACATGTAGGACCTCATTTAAAAGCCTGTGTTAGTGGTGTCTTATTTGTGATGCTTGATGAAAAAAAGGCTGTGAGGCTGCTAAAATGATAAGTAGAGCCTTAAGTTGAGAAATCGGCATATATATTCATTTAGATCTTGAGTGTTTCCACTCAACACATTTCTTATCAATTTAGTGAGTTTAAACAATAGCCAAATAGCTTGCCATGTGACACTTGTTGTCACAGACATAAGAATCAAAACATCGCTCTCTGACCTTGGGATTTAAGTTAATACCAGCAAAAAAATATTAATAAAAACACCATGATAACCAGTTGAACCAGAATGACATAAAAATAGTACAAGTATCTGACTAATGAATTAGAATTTTGAAGCAAGAAATTATCAATTCCACCCAAGTACAGGAGTAATCATTTCACTTTACACATGCTGAAGAGCACTGATTCTAATCAAAATGGAAATGACTAGCTTGTCCCTATAAGACACTTGTAAAGCTTTTGATATCTTGATAAAAATTCATACAGTGGACCAAAAATTCCTGTCTCCTCTCTTAACACTGGTTAAATATCTTTCATTTTGAAGTTAACATTTTTTCCATTGATTTTCTTCAAGTTAGCTTCCTGTGTGTCTCCCTTGACAGATAACCAAGACATTTGAATGACATGAAAGTGATCTCAGCCACTGGGAATTTTATATTTGTTAAAGGGCAGATAAAACTCAAAACCATGTCAATTTTGGCAGGCTGTTCAGCCAATTTCTCATCTCAACCTTCTACACCTCAACTCTTTCAAGGATGATCAAACAACTATCTATGCAGGGACAACATTATTAGAAAACACTCCTCAAAACCAGGATAGCAAAATAACAAAGTTGAATACATATCAACAGTGGCAAGGAAATAACCTGAAATCCACAGGAGATTTCAATAACCTTGAAGAATAGAGATCACATTGATTTATGCATGAACCAGTTGCTCACTGAACTAGACTAATCTTTTTGTTTAATAAATTAACAGAAGTTCAAGAATAATGTACTTACTACTAATTTTTTTTAAATAAAGATTTGCATTAGTGACTTCTCAACACTAAGCTGTGCCATTTTTGACCGAAATTATTCGCAAAGATCTCATTAGAGGTCACGAGCCAAACAAGAGTGCTTCACATAATGTTGTCATGACATTAGATCTTTTTATTGTAGGAATCAAAAATTTTCGAATCGGTTGCTGAAACGTTCATTATAAATTCATCTAGTTGAAGATTGATTGCTGGGGCTGATGTCTGAAGCCGTGCTGTTTAGAAAAGCTAATAAACATTACGAACAATACATATTCATCCTGATCATGACGAAAAAATACTCCAAGGTTTGTAACGATACAATGCCTGCTAAGTTTCCATCACTGAAAGCATTTAGTCGAGATGTAGCGTGCTAGCTTTGCAAACAATAAAATAGCATAAAACTTAAATCCTCCAGACATTCATGATATGAGCTTTCAAGAATGTAACTTATGCATCTACATATAAGGGCTAAGCTAAAAAGCGTGTCATGCCTGCAAAAAAATTTACAGAAGCTTGAACTTACTCTTCTAGTCGTAAAATCCAAGCTGCACAATTCGCAGTAGTAATTATCGCAGTTGCCAATTTCGTTGTCCATATCTTCCAAGCCTCAAAGATAAGCTTTGGTATTTGGTATTTGGTCGAAAATAACGTCAATCGCCAAGCTATTCCAAACAATTTTCTACCTCACGCCTCGTGAGCGGCTTCAAGTTACCAGTCGTGTCAACATGAACTTGCAAGAATTTCCATAACAATCAGCCACCGAACAATCGTGATTTTCAAATGCCGTGTCTCAGAAGGTCACCAAGAACGTGGCGTAGAAGAGTGCGTGGTGTGACAAAAACTGCTGAGATCGGAAAAGGTCCTTTTTTTTAGCCAGTATTTCCGGAAATACGCAGGAATTCCTTTCCGCCTCGTAACAACTTAATGGCTGTTCAAAGCCAAACAAGCTTTGAATGGGCTCAGCGAATAATTTTTGGATCAATTTTGTTTTGTGTGACATAAAATGTAAACGTCGCTCAACAATAAAAGAACGCTGACTGAGAGCCTCGTTTTGGTTTTTTTTTTTTAACTTTGGTCACCGGAAATGCGCGACAAACTACTACAAATCAGTCACGTTTGGTACTTAAACAGGATGGGCGTTTCGGAAAGAGGTGGGCTTTACTGACGGAAATGTTCTTTCCGTTGTCCCTAAATGTAAGAAAATAAGCGAAAATAACTTTATTGAGGGCATCACAATTGTGCTTTGGCCAAAAGGCGTTTTAAATGACGGATATGCCTGCAATTCTGAGGTTTGGACAAAAGACAATTTTGACTACTTTTCTGGTGAAATTTAATAAGCTACTTGATGAAAGTATACCAGTTTAAAACGTTCAGAGGTGGAATTTAAACACAAGCCAAACAGAAAGTGGAACAAGTACACGACAAACGGCTGACGAGCAAATTCAACTGTATAATGGAGCGAGGTTGTGTACTTGTGTACTAGTAAGAAAAAAACAGCCAACAAGAGGAACAACATAACCAGAAAACATTCTTGGTAAGAGAAGAAAAGAAAAGAACGATGTCGAAATCATGACAAACTTTCCTTTTACGATTAAGACGTGAGGTCTTGGCAGATATTTTCTTTTCTGATTTCCTGTTTGACAAACGTACCAGCTGTTTCATTTTGGAAGCTCAAAGGTTAAGATCCGTTTGCACACCCAATCAAGCGCGCACTAATGAACTGGATGATAAAATTAGCGAGTAGTAGTAATTTTACAGCTATATTGCATACGTCTTTAAAAAAGGAAAAAAATTATGATTACGACGTATGAATTTGGCTATCGAACGACTAATGGTCAAATCATAAGTGTTCAAACTCATCGAGTTGAAATATTTGTCTAAATCTTAGTTTCTATATTCGTGCTTTCATTGCCTCTACTGTTAAACGAAAAATAGTGAAGGCCAAGAATCAGGATAACTATCCAAAGACGTGACAAGTTAAGCTATTCTTAGCAGATATTAGATTTTACAGGGGTTAACAGTCATTTACAGGGCATAAAAATCCTTTCAATATTCTTCATAACTTGTTTACAATATCTTTCCATTGTTCTGTCTGGTACATGCGCGATTTTTAAAGAATGGTTCTGCATGTAGTAGCTTTACTCCCAACTCATATCTGGTCCGCGGTTCTCGACATTCAAAACACAAGGTACTCTAAACAGTTATTTAATTATAACAACTATAAAATAGTGAGGCAAAATCGAGCTCTTTCGATCAAAACTCACGATGCCCTAAACAAAATCTCACACGATTAGCGCCACTAGTGTTGACCAACAGGACTCTGTCGCTAATTAGTGATGTCAGGTATTTGGTATTTTAGGTTATTTTTGTCAATTAAATAATTGCAGGTAAACTATTAGTCAATCAGTATACATCGAACTGTTATATGATAATCTCCTTTAGAACCAAATCAAGATATTTTACTAATTCATAAGATATTGCATCATACCAAAGACTTAATTATGATGTAAGTGTTTCTTCGGCGCAAAATATTTAACGTCCTGCATCAGGATGTCATGTAGAACCAAGAAATTATTGGTAGAACTTCAACAAAAATTTGAAAGATAAAGAAAGTCTAAAATAGCCTTACCTTAAGCCCGTTATTTTTAATTTGTACCTTCTATATTTTCATGCAAATACTCTTTCGTGTGGGTCATAGTTTGACCGTGCAAACGGAAAAACTTTTGACAGTAACGCAATGTTTCATTATTAATATCATCTTAATTATTATTATTGTTTTGTCTTGCAAGTCAGTTCATGCTGACAAAATATAAACGTGCATGCGGAAACGTGCGTGTCACTCGCTCCTGTCACAAAAATGCATCTGATTGGCAAGAATACGTCCGACTTATTTTCGCGCCAAAAAACGCGGCTGCAAATTTAGGCTGTCGCAAGCAGTTACACTCCAAATACCTCGTTGGATTTATCAAAACACGACGATGGTTCCAGGTTTCATCGAAAAGTTACGTCGGTAAACAGAAGGAGAACGAGAAGGTAAAATAATACAATTTCATCTTTAAAGCAGTTCTGGGCGAAACACTATCAAGGGGACGTAAAGCGAAATTTCAATTCGTGTTGTAAACAATGAAATTATTGCGCTCCCTAAGCGCAGTATTTAATTCATCAAACTCTAAAGAATCCAAGGATTCGATGACATTTCAATTCCTGAACGAACCTTTACAGTCCATATTATATTATCGAGCTTAAATGGAATAAGTAAGCTTCTGATGTGAAGTAGTTGTTAGCGCACGTACCGAACCAAACGGGACAGTTTTATAAAAATAGTGTGATTTATCATTTATCATTTTAGCCGAATCAGCTGATAGTTTGAGGTAAAACGAAGTGAGAGGAAGACAGAACAGCTCCTCTTTGAACATAGCGTAAACGTTACTAACTGTAAGCCTTTCATGAGGAAACTTTTGGAAAGTTTACGGTCTAACCGAAACCTTTCGAAAACAAAGCATAAGTCCCAAAGGTGAACTCCGCCATCGTTTCCTGTTATCAAGTAACTGTATGAAAAATGAGGTCCAGGACTCTTTCCAAACTTTTATGCAATACCAGAGCCACAAAATTAACCTAAATAGTAGCCGCTATAGTGATTTAAAAATGTCCGATTGAGCCTGGGACGAAGTCACCCCGTTCACCAAAATCTACTTTTGAGCGAATTTACGAGCCGATCCAAGCTCTTTAAGAGCATAACAATAACGTTAACTTGAACGTCGTCTGGTCTGATAGAAATTGGTGTTATTGCAATGAAAGGAAAGGAATATTACAGATTGAAGCAATTCAGTTTACCTTTGTTCTCCGTCTCCTTTTGTTCCACATTACTGAAAGATCGAGTGGTTTCCAGGAAATATTGTTTTTGACAAATACTCAGTTAAAATTACCCCAAAACTTATGACTCTTATTCGGTTACGACTCGATGTTGAGAAGTAGCAATGAAATCATTGGTAAAAGTGAACTGTCCTTCGATAAGAGAAAAAAAAAGTATAGAATACTTTGCCAAACGATATTTTCTTAGATGAGAACGATATTTAAATTGCAAATGCTTTTGTTGCTTGCCTGCAGGTGTATTTGCGAAACAAAGAGAGAAGTGTGAAGTTTGGTTGATGTTTTCATTGTCCAGTTAAAGTAACGTACAAAGGAAAATGGTTCGTATTTTCATTTTCTTTTAGATGAAAAGATAAGCTTTACTTTGAATTCATATGAATTTACACGTGTCCCTTAAAATCTGGTTCCATCATCTTTAAAACGAAATCACTGACGTTTGCAATAAAAATTAGAACGGGCACTGTGTTGCCAATCCTATTTGCAGCGTTTCTTTAGAAATAACATCGAGACCAAAAGCCAGAATTTCCCATCAGTACCCGCAACATTCAACAATGTGATAATCACTTCCAAACAAGCAAGGGAAAACTGTAATGGTCCATAAACCAGAAATCGAAAAGCTTGTCCCATCTGTTATTATATTAACATTTGCAAAGTGCGTCGACATAAAAGGGTACCAATCATTCATAACTTCATCCATGAAAGTTATTCACTCTGATGATTTGCTGTCTCTATACAAATTATATGACGAAATTTTAACATTTACTTTCTTTGAAAGTCGGTCATTTACAAGCTAATGATAAGAAATAGCATTTTCTTGGTCACTGGAAACGAGCAAATAGCGGCGCGCGAGAACCGATGGGAGTCCGAGAACCAGTAGGAGTCCGAGATCGACCGAGAACCGGCAGGGTCTGTAATCTACCTTTTCGCCTATCCTCGTTCTCGTCTTCTGATGACTGAGAGGCGGGTACGGACTGCTCGATTATGCTCGTTTCTGATGACATCAAGAAAAAAATTCACAATGATTTTGAGAATTTCTTGTGATCTGCTACTTTTTCCCTCAGATTCTCAGTATAAAATAGCCTTGTGAAATTCGGCGTGATTGTATTTTCTTTTATCGACTTTTCGTACAGAAATCAATGAATTTCGTAACCCTCGTTATTCTTTCGAAGATTACGGTAGTCATGTTTGTTAAAAAAAAATGTAAATTCAGTCTCGTGATCAATGTAGTAATTCAGTCTTTTGACATTTCAAGAAACCTTTGTTGACAGCAATGTAAACATAGCGAACAAGGGAGATTACCGGCCTAAAACGATAGCTTCACCCTTTACACCCTAACCGCCATCAGCATGCATTTTCTCCATACTGTTCTCCATTCATTTCCAAAGAGGCTAACAAGGAGAATTTGTTTCACAATCAAGAGCTGCTTTAGTTGCTAATCATCTCCTCTATTCTCATGACTTTCTCCTTTTTGTGAGGAGAAATTAGATGCTGGTCACTCTTAGGGGCGAAAGGGTTAACAAAGCATTTGAAGAGTTTCTCGAGGATGTCCGTAAGCTTGCTTTAATCCGAACTCAGCACCATTCAATCTCAGTTATTTTCCTCCACTGTAAAATTGAATTTGAAAATTTAATTGAAAATCACTACAGCGAGTAAATTTTCGAACTGAATTCATCCACAAATGTTTTCCTATTGTGCAACTGTTCTCAAAGCTTATCAACCCGCTGCAGCTATACCTTTCAACTTTTGTCGACATTAATGTCAAGAAGAAAGTAATATCCGAAAGATGGTCTTCAATTTTACGTCGACAGAATTCGATAAAGGAACAAAAAACAGAAACAGAAAACATACATCTGTGATCTCGTATCATATCTTTACACTCTACAATGTAAATGTAATGATTTGTGATTTTTCAAAACGCCGCACACCATATTGCCAGCTCAAGATACATGTAAATGCGATGTAACTGATCCAGCATAATTCTGAGGTTACACATCGTACTTGATTAGCCGTAAATCGCGAAACTTACCTTGTAATTTAAAATTATTAAAAGTTTAAACCATGATTGATGGAACCGCAGAACTTTGCCCGGCGTGCTGCGTTACACGGATAGAATAGACTACTTTGTTCAGTGGAAAGCGGTCAACGAATGTGTTTACCTTTATGTTAATAAGTAACGCACGTTTCAACATGTAAATCAGTGAAAAAGCTGTCGAGGCAAACTGTAAACGACCGATAACTATTGGTTGATTGAGAATTTTTTGTGATGCGACTCCATTAAATAGAGAAGTATTAATTGAAGTAGAAGGAGGCTCCTCATAGAGAGGTCACAGGCCCAGAGTCAGACCTGGGGCAGTACAAAGCGATGCCTATGGAACCGTTGAACCTTTGAAGACTTTGGAGATTCAGACAAAAAAAAGTTTGAGCCATTGTTTATGGAAACGCCTGCAAATTTAGGCCCTTGTCTCGAAAGTCGATTTGCTAATTTTTCTTTTGCTTCGGACAGCTGGTCACTGTTAACAATCGGTTAGCAGTACGTCATCTTGGACAACAGAAGTCGTATAAAATTACATTCTCTTTTTCAAGTTGAACCTGTTCTCGGTGTCCAATTAGTTATAGAGACGCGAAAGTAGCGCAAAGCAAAAAAAAAAAAAGAGAGAGAGAAGGTCCCATGCTGTTTTCCAGTAAACAAAACCTCTTCTTGACTGCATAGTTTATCAATATCTTGAAAAGGTTGTCAGTTCGTTGCCAATCTCTTGATTTCCTCTTTTAAAAATTTTCTTGAAGGCCTTTCTGAATTCTTGATTCCTACAAGTATAAACCACTGGATTGACGCAGGCGCTGATGGATGCAATTAATGATAAAATCGTCATGACACGAGTCATTTCCTCTCGCTCATCATTGCCAATAAACTGTTGGTGCAGAGTTCCTATTAAGAGGGGTAAAAAACAAGCCATGAACGCGCCGATGATAATACCATATGTTATTGCTACTTTAATCTCGAGCTTTCTCATCCTTTCGCCCTCCAAGTGAGCATCATGTTTAAGTTTTAATTGTTGATGACGTGACACTTTCAGGATATACATGTAACTACCAACAGTCAAAGTGCAAGGCAAAACGATGTATATTGAGATTATAATTGCAGCAAAGATTTTCGATGTGTTTTTGAATTTGTGTTCATGATATGACAAGCACAAATGAAATGAATCATAGTAATCGACGAAGTCTTCGTACTCTGCGTCGGGAAGCGAATGAGGAGACACAACAGTTCCTATCACAGGGAGTAGCCATATGGCAATAAGTGCAGTTTTCGTTCGTTTCCCCGTCACAATAGTTTTGTAGCGGAGTGGAAACCTTATCGCGATAAATCTGTCGATACTGATGGCTGTCAAATGTAGAATTATCACACAGATTGTACAGAAAGCAATTTCTGAAATGGCGTGGCACGTTGAGTGAGACTCCTCACCACTCATGCGATTAACAACTCGGTACACGAAAGCACTTGTCATGAGCAAGTCGGCGAGGGCCAAACTGAAAATTATCATATTTGGAACTGTTCTCAGAGCCCTAGTCCTCCATATCACTGCACAGACTAAACAGTTTCCAAACAAAGTTGCCAAGGTTAAAACTACGTGAAAAATAATAACAAAGATATTAAACGCTGTATTGTGCATCCCGACTTAGAGTCGCGTGCTACCTTGTAATTCGATGTTGTCGAATCAGCCCAAAACAATCCTTTTAACCAAACATTGTATGGCTGATATGCGCTGATTGAGGGTAAGTAGCAAAACTGAATCCTCTTTTTCTTCTTCACTTTGATAATATCCTTTGATTAAAACACCGTGAAATTCTGCCTTTCACCAAATGATGATAACAAAAACTAAATAAACGTCGAAAGAACCACCTTGTCCCAGTTTGAGCGTAGTCGTCAATAAAAGGAGCAGCTGCCGCACAAGCAATGAATATTATGATGAGTGAGTGACAAATTGTCACCGATTTCGATTAAGGCCTAGTTCATAGCATAGTTGCTAGGTTAAATTTCCTTATCAGACGGAACGACAAGTCCTTCATCCCAGATTAGTGCGATTAGGGATGCCCACTCTGGTTCACTCATGCCGTCTACTTTTTTCCTTTCTTTCTAATTCAAATACGGCTGCCCATACACAGAACTACGCTATAACAATTCTCAATTGTCGAGCCAATTGCGTCGTTTTAATAACTGTCATCCCACCGTATTTTAATTATCCGTTTTTCAAAAAGCGCCACACAAATCTCTCGAGTTACTGTGCACAAAAAAAAAATTATAATATTTATGCCTATTAAACTCCTTCGCCGAAAATATAACTGCTAGCGCGTTAAGAAAATTATCAAATGGAAACCGAGGCAACGTTTCAAAGGGTCATTTATTCAAATGGATATCCTGAAGTCACAACATGCTTTTAAGCCCTACTGGGTTTGTTATATTCTACTAAACAAGAAATTAAAGATATCTACATTATTGATTGAAGGAAACTGGAAATTTTCGTGAGGTTAAAACCACTGGAAATTGTTACCTGGATACAAATTAAAATTTGGTTTATTTGATGCTACATAAAAGTATTTGTATTTGCCACTGTGTTGTCATCAATCAAATTTAAGAGTCGTATGAAGATGAAAGCCAAATTTCTCAGGGAGGTAACTGAAAAGTGTTTTAATTGAAAAGGAGGGCATTAATGACTTTTGGCGAGTGTAGCATTACTGTGGATTTTATACCTGACGTTCCACTTAGATATTGGCCGGATTCTCGTTAATATCCACACCGATTTTCACTTAGTTTATTTATTCATCGAGTTATCTTTTTCAATCATAACTACTCTGAGCAATATCCTCCCCTCCCGGGCAGAATAGTTTTGTCCTCGCCCCATATCCCCTCGTCAAATGATCCAAGATGGCAGCTCCCTGGAAAGCTAATTTCAGCCATTAAATGGATATGCTCATCATCAAGTCACTTACATTGATAGAATATTTTGACGTTCTCCAGCCTTTGCTTTAAACTCTATAATTCAAGACGAGATGTGAGAGTTAACTGGACAATGCTAAAGAATGGAAGTTCCTGGACGATCGCCTGATCACTTTCCTGAACTTTTGGTGAGTGTAAAACTGCTCTAACCGCATTAAGTTTCTAAATTTACATGTAAATTTGGATCGTGAAGTGGTACTTCGCGGCTCAAATATTAATTAGCTTTTTAAAACCTAAAAGCTTTCTTCGGAAATCCAGCAATATCATCTATTTCATCGATTTCCCTCTTCTTGAGCTTTCCAAGCTTGCGGAAGGCTCACCTCGTTAGTTTGGCTGGGATTTTCTCATAGGATACAAAATTTTTCTTCTGGAATTAAATGAGCAGCAATTATCGTAATATAGAGAGGGGAAATCCATGTGGCATATTGGCTCACTCATCTTCTGTTCTCTGGAATGGTATAAAGGATGTTCCCGGAAGAGAAAAAAATATATTTTAAAGATAGGAGGGTAATGCACAACTTATACCCTGAAAGGGGCACGCGCGCGCGTCGCGGCGCTTTAGTGATGTTGTTACTTTGAAACTGATAAGCTGGTGGGAACATGAGTTATGATGTTTGAGATGGTAATGCTTACAAAGCGAAAATCTCAAAGCCTCGTCCATTCATTTTTTGAGTAGCGACCTTCAAAAGAGCAAAAGCGTTCAGAGTCCGCGAGCTTAAAATTTGATGCGCATGTAAATTTTTTTCTAAAAATTATGGAGATTGCAAGTTGTTATATTCTTAGCTGTAGTTTCTCAGGCTTCTGATATAGGCACCAATAAGCGCGCCAATCAAGACAAAATGGTGGGTGCTGTAGCTGCTCAGGTAATCAAAATATCAGTCAGCATCAACGACCCAACAAAAGTATTTCTTTTCATTGCTACCCTCCCCAATAATTAGAGTGAGAAAAAGAGAATTCCCGATGACCTTATTATCTTGTGATGTACAAGTCCAGCGAGCGATGTATGTAGGCGCAGGCGCTCTCAATTAATAATTTTTTTTTTCATCTTTTGTCTTAAGCAAATTTCTGGCGCTTAAAATGGAAATTTTTTTTTTTTGCACTTGTACTGTTAGCTCAACTAATAATAGCCCTGCCCGACGAAAACACTAACGACTCGCGTCCTCTTCCTTTATCCTAAATCAGTTATTTAGAAAGTACTTATGTTACCTTTATATTTTGTGATATCGTCCTACCACATCTCTTCGTGATTTTCCTTCTTAGGTCTTTATGAACCGCCTTAGCTGTATCTGTATTTTAATTACATAAGACCCGTGACTCTCCTTGAGTAGCACTAACTTACATTGAATCAGTCTTTTCGCAATGAATCTCTTTTAAATTTCGATCCACGTATATTTTCCGTCTTCACTTACCTATCTGTAATTGTTAAACTTTTGATCTCGATTGCTACATTATAAGACTTCCTTTACACTCTCCTTCACTGTCGTCGCATGAGAAATCGCTGAATGTTTTGGTCACTCTAGAAGTCGAAGGGTTTGTAATAAGTAAGAACAACCGCAGCGGAAACTCTATGAAAAGGAAGCATTCATCTGAAACAATAAAGTTCAGAGCTCACTTTGAAATCCACGTGATTCAGGAAAATTTAACATTGACAACTCGTAATTTTTTAAAATAAACAGTGGACATCAAAAAGAAACATTAGATAGAAGACATCTTTAGTGCAAAGTCGACCAAAAATTCGTTTTTGTTTAGGCCGTTAAGTAGCGTAAACTTACAATTTCTTTGAAGGAAGCGACGTAAAGAATATCTAGCGTAACTTCATATGAACACAAAAGCTAATTCTGTAACTCAATTATTTCCACCAAGGGGTGAGTGGTAAAATTTGCCTCCGGGGGCCATGCATTGTATTGCAATAAAAGCTACGTGTCTCATTGTTATTTGTCTTTCTAGAAGTATCCCTTTCTATCAGCCGCCAATATGAATGAAATGTGTAGGCACGTCCTAAACTCGAATGAAACTTGGTGGGTTTCATCAGAGGATTTCGCCGGCTTGTTGTTTCCGATGGAAATGCGGCAAGAAAAGGTAATGAAAAATGATTTTTTGGAAATTAGTCAGTCTTAAAGTATCAGCTGCGGATAGCTTATTTCTTAATGTGTAGTTTTTCCAAACAGGAATTTGTCGCCAGGGCAGAAATTTTTGAAAGTAGCTAAGAACTATCTCGATTTAATTACACACGAATTCCTTAGTACTATGATAAATGACTTTATTTGTATCCTTCTTTATTAGTTTTAATCATAGCGAGACAGCTTAAATAGACATTGGTAAGATTAAGTAGTCTTAAAGTTTTCCAAGATCATCGTATAACCGTTATTACAACAAAGCGAAAACCAAAACAAACACATTAACACCTTTAGCAAAACTTATGCTGAAATAACAGAATAAACATGTCTTCTGTCGTCATCATGTTGATAAGCGCTAAACTCGCAGAACGAAAATCATGTTCGCTCTGTATTCGTGGAATGAGCAATTTTTCGCTAACTGAGTTGGACGATGATTTCCGGTGGAAGCTAATTGACTGAAAAATTTTCGAAAAGTGGCGGTCTCTGTTTAGTCTATTGAAAAGCAGTGACACAAGTAATTTCTTTCTTCTTCCCATTGAACTTTTAATCACCTAATTTGCTGTTTCTTAATTTGAAGCTTTGAATGAACTTTGACGAACCCAAATCCGTATAAATTGCTTCCTTTCAAATTTGAAAAGGTTTCGCTTTATTTTGTTACTTACATTCACGCCTGTAAGAAAACGTTTAATCATAAAATTGGTCCTGTTTTGCCAAAGTGAAGTTCTTCTCGACTGCGTTGTACAGCGTTGTTCATATGATCCAAAATTCTCTCGCGGGGATGTGGTAAAATTTCTTTTTTACAAAGTCACGTAATATCCTTATTGTCAAAGTGTTTTTTAAATGAACTGGAACACAAGTTAATTAAAAGAGAGAAAATCAAAGAGAATACGAAAACACCGATTTCGCTTTTCAATACGGGGTCACGACAGAAATCTGGCAAATACGAGCTGTTCAGTAATCCCTGAGGAGAGTCGAAATGACCAGAGAAAACATACGTCTTTTCAGTAACAGGTACACATTTCAACAGAATATTTACTCGCAAACTTGTTCATCAACAAACCACTGTCCGACGGATTAAACTACGGGTAGCAATTTCACCGGCTTTCTGTGTGGGGGCGGGGATTACCTTCGAACCCAGCATCACAAGTAATTAGACTTTGTTAGATAACGATGCTTGTTGAATTGTTGAATTCTTAAGTGTATGCAAACATGCAGACTTGCATTCAAAAGTGATATATTTTTAGCGGTCCTTGATAATTTTTCGGCAAAATCCATTGTCAATTGTGACGGGTGAGCAATCAAGACATTCGACGATTTATGAGGGCGAATTAAGATTCTTCAGTTATTACCTCGCACTGTGGACACAAGTGAACAAGGTTGTTAGACATTCAAGATGAAGTTGTTCAAAGCTTTTTACATGGTCGTACTGTTTGGTTTAACAAGTCTCGATGTTCTAGCAGAAGGCAATGGATCGTGGTGGTAAGTCAGTGTACTATACTTCCTGATCATGATACCGTTATATCACTTTTAGCCTTTGTGCTGAAACATTTGAATCTCTCGCTCTATAGGAATCTTGGCGTTAGTAGCTCCTCGAAACCCCAAGACGATTACAATTTCCAGCTTTCTCCTGCCAACGGTGTCAAACCTGTTACACCGAAGCAACAGCGATTGTTTCGGAAGTACCCAGAGTTGGTTCCATACATTGGACTCGGGGCAAAATTCTCTATCAGCCAGTGCCAGTATCAGTTTAAAAACAGACGGTGGAATTGTTCTGCTCATAGTCCTGAAAACGTATTTGGGAAGATTGTAAAAATAGGTAAGCTGGCTTTGAAACTCTTTGAAATTTTTTTGATTGATTTTTCATGTTTTTTTAGTTTCGTTCTAGTATATCCCACACCATCTAATGACAAAGATGAGTTCGTCCGTAACTAAAGCTATACCTTTTTGAACCGGCTTTTCCTTCTACTAAAAACAACCAAAATAATAAAGTTTCCTAATTCCAGGGCCATCTCACTTTTTGAGATTTTGCCGAATCCGCGAAAAGTGTTGAGTTATTTATTTTCGTTAGCGTAAAAGGTTTCTCAAGTCAGTCCCCACGATGAACTGTCATATCCGGCTGGTCGTGTGCATTTGATTTACTTATTTCACTTCATTTCACCGCTTCCCAGACACTGCAGCAAGATGTTGAAAGGTAAAAAACAAAACAAAACAAAATAAAAAGCATATCTAAGAGAAGACAAAGGACTCTTGAGGCAACCTTTTACAAGGCTCCGTTTCGACTAAATTCATCATCTCTCATAAGCGAGAATCGTTGAGCGAGAAACGCCGAGATCAGCAGCTTTTTTCCGGTCGTTGCCTTTTAGAATTTAATGAACAACCCACGAAGGCAAATATATACTTATTGCATGACTCATCAGCGTATGTTTTATATTTATGGACGTTTGGAATATGCCAAATTTTCATATGTAATCGCTAATCTCTTTGATATTCATTCTTTATGACCTAACATATGCTGTAAAGTAAATGTAAAAGATTTCGGAATTAAGGCTACATCCATCACAAATAGCCGTTCATTGCTGCGATACATCTGTCTTCTAAGTAACTTTCAAGTTACTTGTTGGAATATGAGTTCGAAATGTGTAGATCAGACTTTATGGCAATACGTATCACTCGATCTTCCCTCTTTTTTTCGCTTACCCGAGTTTTTGCCTTTGCGCTGCAGAGTTTAGGCGCAAACGTTTGTAACAATTGTTAAATTTCGATATCAAAAACAACTCTACCTTAATTTATATACTGAGTTCTCTAGCTTCGCGCCAATTTACTTTCTGATAACTTCACGATGAACATCTCTTCAGCTGGTTTTTTTTTGGATCAAAATTAATTTTAACGCGGGTGGAAGAAACTTTCAGCTTTGCTCGTAAGATGCAAATTTTACTTTCAAAGAGCAATTTTTCTATGCCATGATGGCCCCTTCACTAATTATGCAGGTGAAACTACTTGGCGGATTGTGACTTAATTTTCTCGTATCGGTTTTCTTACTGTCGGAAAAGTCTCGGCAGGAAAGGTGACACTATTATTTATGTAAACGCCACCTTTTAGGTTTTATAGATATTTTTTAAGGAAAGAAATTAGGAAACTTTTTTAAACTCTGTTGTGCCTGTTTCAGCTTGCAGGGAAACTGCTTTCGCTTACTCAATAACGGCAGCCGGTGTATCGCATGCCATAGCTAGAGCTTGTAGCGACGGCAAAGTGACAGCCTGTGGTTGCGACAGTAGATACAAGGGAGTTACCAATGAGGGTTGGCAATGGGGAGGCTGTAGTGACAATATTCATTTTGCTGATCAGTTCTCCAGAAAGTTCGTCGATGCTGGAGAGAAGGGAAGAGATTTTCGCACGTTGGTTAATTTGCACAACAACGAGGCGGGAAGAACAGTAAGTTGATTTTTCTTTTTGCTCTACGTGTAAAAATTTCAAGTAATAATTGCAAGCCAGGGTAATATAAGCCGCAATGATGGACCTTAAAAAAGCCGCAGCCTCAGGCGAAGAGTGAATTGCTTTTCGGTGATGAATAAATCCTTTCCGACTGATATTTTATTACTAAAATAATTGAAATCCATGAACCTAAGTGGTGGAATAAGGCAATATGTGTTTCAGTTTGAACAGCTTAAAAAGAAAGTTTGAAGGATAATAATTTTGACTCACGAGTCAAATCTTTAGAATATTTAATAATTGTACTCGTCAGTCTGGCTGACGTTATGATAATAACGTAGAGGAATGTAGCAATCGCTGGGTAAAAGAGAACGATCGGTTGAAAAAAATCGGTACAGAAAGGAAATTACAATACGTACGAAGCTGGTATATTAATTTCATTTTATCTGAGCAATAACAAAACGAAGTGGAATAGAATAGTGATATCTTGAACTGGTAGCAGAGATTTTGTTATACAAACAAATTGCAAAAGTATAGAAAAAGGGATTCAACCACACAGTTATAAAACCTGCAATTCAAGAAATAGACAAAGAAGTTGTCTTCGCAAATCAGAATGTTACCATATGGCTTTGTTAACGCGGCTAGCGTTAAATAACAAAGTCGCAACATTTAAAGTTAGAATTATTCACGGTAATAAGTGTGTCTGTGGTAAACCGTAATAGCTCGGTTTCCCACGTATTGACGAAAACCTAATTGCTCGGAAAACGTGGTCATGAAATCATTGTCTATTATTTTTCGCCGCGGCTTTTTCGCCGGCCATTAATTTGCATTTTATTACATTTCGCCGGTTTCAATGATGTTCCCACGGTGCTCAGTGGAACGTCTCGACCAGAAGTTAATTCAGTAGGGCCTATAAGACTTTTTATTGTATCATATTTGAACCAGCAATGATTCATACTTCTATGATGAAAACGGGGCAGTCAATCCACCTTCGATGTGTCTTTAAATCGGAAATTCTTTTTTAACGATCCAACACATCTAACCTTTCGCCGTGTGTGTGTCCTTTTCCGATATTTTTGAGGACGGAGATGTATATTCTAACTACGTACAGAAACTCTCCTTCAAAATGATGGGCATTAAAATCGTTGCTATGAACGAGTTACTCCTCCGACTGATTTTCATCGGAAATGTTTCTAATATAATCGCAGTTCGCGTTGAAATGCCAAGTTTCCCAATAACTGATATCTTCCAATCAAAAAATTAGAAACCTGATGAAACAGCAAAGAACGTTCAAAACAATCCACATAGTGGCACCGGGGCGTCGAACTTTTCAAGAAACTGAAGTTTTGTTTAAAGTAACATAGGCATATTGTTACCTAATGTGTTGCGGACATCTTTCAAGCTAACTAAATCTTTGATCCTCTTTCCTAATGGTATAGATATTCACTGCCTCCAGCGGCGACGCTGGAGCCGTAAATCTTTCTCTCTAATACGAACCATCTAGCTGTCTGTTTAACTCCCACAACTTATTAACATGTAACATCCAGCAAACAGGCAATGGGAATACCCAAAATCAATTATCAGGTGGAAGTCTTTATCTTGATCTAACACCAAAGTCTCGTAACTATTATATTTAGGATGAAATGTGAAGCAGCTAGAGGGGCAAGTGACAATCAATCTTGGGAGGCAAAGGGCTTAATCCGATATGGTCAGCGTTTAAGCAAAAGGCTACGTTATTGCTTCCTGTGTAACTATCTGACCTAACAACTGACAAAAAGATATTTCCTTTTTCAAAGGCAATTCGAGAAAACATGGTTAGAGAATGCAAATGTCATGGAGTGTCTGAGGCCTGCACTGTTCGAACATGTTGGAGAAGGCTGGCTGACTTCAGACGAATTGGCGAGGTGCTTAAAGACAAATTCGACAGCGCTTCAATGGTAGAATTTGAACAGAATAACAATCGTAATGGTCATAATGTTAAGAAAGGAAAATCTTTTCGACCGAGAAATAAACTACATAAGCCCCCTACAAGAGCAGATTTGGTTTACTACGAAGACTCGCCCAATTTTTGTAACCGAAATCCTGACACTGGATCCCTCGGAACGGTTGGAAGACTGTGTAATAACACATCCCTCGGGACAGATGGGTGTGACTTAATGTGCTGCGGAAGAGGTTATACATCGAGTGAAAGCGAACTGGAAGAACTCTGTAACTGTCGTTTCTATTGGTGTTGTAAGGTGAAATGTCAGAGTTGTCGATCGAGGCTTACGCTTCATAGGTGTAAGTAATGTTAGAAGAGGAAATATCACGATACGGCTAACTTCATCGCTGCAAAGTCAAACCACAATCTCCTGATAGAACTTTCCCATGTAGACCACGAAGTATAATCAAATGAAGACCATTGACAAGTATCTTATGGGGCTCTTTGTATTACTATGTCTAAGAGCTTTCTATCTTTAAGTCTGAGAAAGTGACATCGATTTTCCCTGAATTCGAAGTTTGGTTGTTTCAGTTAAGAGAGGCGGTTTAATTCTTCTTGTACAGAAAAAGGCGAAGAGTATTGTAGAAAGATAAGATAATAAAGATAAAAGTTACAAGAGTAACCAGACTTCCTTCACGTTTTGAACAAATAATTCCTACTCTAAATTGTTACTTGTTATAGACACACTTGAAAGCAAATGTATAGTTCCAAGTTAACATGTCAAAAGAACCATGTTAGGATGATTTTGATTAGCTTTTGTGTGCACTTTTAAAGTACATTTCTTGTCAATCACATAACGGCTCTGGGCCGTTTTTTAAAACTGTAAAATCTTAATAACACGTCGATTGTTACCAATATTGTTCAATTTCTTGTAGAAGAATTAGAAAATAATCGTTCAGTTTTATGAACGTAAGAGCGTCATAGGTAGAGTTATGCAGATAAGTAAAGACGAGTATGTTAAAAAGTTTTGAGATTAATCCTTGTGATCTGTTGCGCTGATGTCTTGTCTGGTTCATTAGAGACGCAGTTCAAATGGAAGATTCCTAGCCTCTTTATTCCCTAAGAATTGATCTGTACTTATCTATTTTTAAGCTGAAAAATTGTGTCTCGATCACCTCTTGTAGTTACATTATTATCTGTATAATGTGTAATTTTCATATACCTTAGAGAAATCTTTCCAACCAAAGTTCTCTCTTAGTAGACCGTGTAGTAGCTTTTACATCCCAGCCAACTACTCTTTAAGAAGCCCCTAATAAAAGTATCATGTTCAAATATCAGTTACGAATTTAAATCAATTTAAGATAGAGTAAGGAAAAATTTTTATGTTAGAAACAACTTCTCTTAAAACCCAGATAGACTGTGTACTTGTTTATTAAATGAGGAATTATGTCAAAGATGATTAGGATTGAATAATCGTTGACAATTGGTGGAGTACGTTTTGTAGTCTAAGACTTTGTGCAGAAATCTTGGTTTCTTAGAAGGGGAAAAATTGTCAAATTTTAAACTTTTAGTACTTACACATAGGGTCACAGAGACCGTATAGTTGAAATTAAATAACTTTTATCGCATCTCCGCCTAAGACGCAGCATTAACTGTTTACCCTCTTCTATGGTTTGAACGGTTGCCAAAGGGCCTTCGTTGTGGTCGATATTTATCGCCCCCCACCAAACCAGGCGGTAGATAATGACTGGTCATAATTGTTGAAAATTTAGAAAACTGATAAATGTAAAATGATTTCCAAGACTGGAAAAAGTTTACAAAACAAAGTCTGATAAAAGCAACACTCTTATAAACTAGCCTAATGACGCAGATGTATTCCCACAAGTGAAAGCCGCTAAACGGCTTCAAACCCTAGAAAATTGGTTTTCTTGACTCTGGCCCTCTTATCTGACTCGTAACCTAAAGTTTAGAAAATGAAAATAATGATTTGTCTAAGGGCCTTTCCGAAATCTTGAATTTTGTGCCAAAAGACGGGGAGGAAATTTGGCGCTTGCCAGTCTGAACAGTTTTCAGCTGTTGTGTCATGATAGTGACGTTTACTGATAATTTTAATCTTCTTTTTTTAAGCGTATCAGTTTCCATAGGTAGCGTATGTTAGATGTCATCAAGCACAACCCATAAAATCACTCGCAATGCTTTTTACTGAATTTTGTAAAGCATAAGACGCACTTCATGCCTATGCAAGGTCTGCCTGTTCTGGACTCCTTTTTTTTTAACTACACTCGTCTTTTGCTAAAGAATTTTGCATGTGGAATGTTCTTGTTAATTCCAGAGAAACCAGTTCTCTTTATCCTGCTTGATGAGTTTGCCCTTTATTCTTCATTTGGTAATTTTTTTAATGTTTGATTAAAAAAAAGGACAAAACAAAAAGTCGGAAGGCTTATCGACAAAAATTTTTTCTCCGATCTTTCGCCAAGATTTTTTCCAAAAGATTGTCTGGCCTTAGGTAAATTGTTCTGTTAATCGTACTTCTTTGGCGATAATATTTCAAGCCTGAAAAGGAAGCAACGACAAAAACAAAGAAAAATCTGCGCACAGCGCATTCCTCTGAGTCCATTGCAGCTTAATACAGCTCAACATTAACTTAACAACGAATGTCAAGCATTAAAAGGAGTAGATTCCACTCCTTGTGATGACACATAAGATTGGGCGGAGGGAACATATTTCATCCTATGAGGATTAATAGAACATTCTCGGGAAGTGAACTTGATGGCATTTTATGAATTGTGTTTTCAGGGGAACCTAAAAAATTTCTTGTGTGGTTGTTTCAATTTTTGGAGCTTTTACATACTCCTTTTCTATGTTCGTTCCAATTTTTGTCTAATTTCTTCCACTGCATTTAAACAATCTCTAGGAATAAAGTCGCAGGAATGAAAACGCGAAAAAATGTTTCAACTAGTAGTTCACCTCATTTTTCCCATCTTCTAAAAAGTAAGATAAGATATATCTGCAGCTACAAAAGATAATCATAATAGGAAGTCATTAGTGCCATATAGCTTAACAGTAGGGGGGCTTTAGTGCTAACTGTTTGAAGGATTAAGGCAGTACTTTAAGAAATGAACTTGGTAGAAACGAAAGGAGGGTCGACTGAAATTTGATGTCAAGTTCAAGATACAGCGTAAACATTCATGTAGACGTTGAAATGTTTTTTGTCAGATATGGTCTACATGGACTTTTGAATCACATTTAATATAAAAGAATAGAGAATCTTTCGTTGCTGATAAAAATTACAAGAGGCAATTATCGTTTCATAAACGAAAGACGTGATGGTACGTATTAATCTCTTGTAGGCTTAAATCCTGTCTCTTAGACGGCTGGATTATGATTTGAAGAGAACTTATCTGCCATTTAGACATACAGATAAGAATATTTCAATGAAGGGGACGATAAGACTACATGCACATTGCCCACATCTGTTAAATCTGAAGGGAAGACAGTGTTCCCTTCTTCTGCTAGTGGGGCTGAATAATTGACTTATGTTTTTTTTCATTTTACTCTAGAAAAATGTCAATTAACTCAACATTCATTTACGATAGTGGCACCCTAAACTAGCTGCAGGGGTGCTGCAAATTCCCTCAAAGAGGTAAAGCAAAATGATATTCTTAACCATTCAAAAACTTTTTTTCCTCAAGCCTATTCAACGGTAGTTTGTTCGACATTGTCCGCGTTTAAGTGGATAATAATTAGTCAGTGTTAAATATCATGCATATTTGGAGTGTATAGCTAAAACCGTGACCTGTTTTGGAAAAACTCAATACTTCAGTGCTATTTAATTACTATCGAATGTCAGCGTACCGAATAAGGTGTGAGATAAAACATGCTGGCGTCTCAAACATTGACTGTGCTTTAGTGGCCTCAGAAGTGGGCCAATTAAAATTGTATTATACTGAATAGACCACTTGTGTTTCATCGTAATCTTCCTTAATGCACATATACCAGGATAGTCCTAGACAAGTCACCGATCAGACATGGAAAGACGTCCTTCACACACAGTCAAAGGAGAATTAGAATTTCCCCATTGCATGACTCGAATCAGTCACCAAACTCCAAATTAGATTTAATTTAATAGAAATTAAATCACAGGGCAAAATAACAAATGACGCAATCACAATGCTATGCAAAGGGTCATACCTTGCTTTTAAAATTCATCCGGACTAGGAACACGATATATTTGTATCTGTAAGCCTGTAATAATTTCCGATTCTGCTTTGATTTTTTTAAGTTTTTGATATAAAGTAATGCACACTGAATGTGATATGCGGAGGATTTTGGTTGTGTCATAATAAAATTTACCTGATCCCTCTTAAGGCTCTGTAGTTTTCTAGTAATCTCCACCACTCATTGACAGTCAGTTTCTGTGGTCTCCCCCCCCCATTTTATACTTTATTAGTGATGACTAATGCCCCTCCTTCCCCTTCCCCCCCAGGCGAAAAAAATGACAGGTCCCAATAGTGTGTAAAAACAACTCTCTTCCTTTATAATCTGTATTTAACTCTGCATATCCATGCATAGGGCACTTAAGGATAAGTGAAACAACTTAAATGTACTGTGTGTTCAGTCATTTTTATAGAACCCTGGCTATATACAACAGTGTGAATGTGTTCTGTTACCTCACGCCTGCCTGAGTATTATCCTCTCAGACGATAAAAAGTATGTATTGCTCAGGAATGGACTTTTTCATAAAACAATGGTTGTTATAGAAAACAACAAGAAACAGAAATGAAGGAGAGCTGATCAAAATTGAAGTGCATCTCCATCCAAGAAAATCAAAATTTGAAATGTGAATCTTTCCGTGTTTCCATAGAGAACCATTTCAAAGTTCCAAAGCTGAAATCTTGATCAAGACGCTTAGTAAAGCGACACTAGAAAAATTAACGTTGTAACCACCACAGTTGGCACACTTAGTGGTTTTTTGAGCTTTCTACGAGTCTATTGGTTGATCGAGATACAGAGTAAAATATGTAGTCGGTCAAACTTTTGACAAGCTTGGTAAAAATTTATAAATTTAGTTTATAGCGGTCATGAGAGGTACTTTGGATTTAAACTGCCACTAGGTTCGCGGGATCTAGCCTTTATAGCACTCGTGCGACACACCAACTTGTGTACCAAACATCGTCCTTTCACGGGTTCATTTCTCAGTAGTGCGTTCTCAACATGCTTCATTGCTGAGCTGGTATATATTTGTCCGATACCCGTAACTCAGAAGAAGACCGACCCAGCAAAATTCGTCAGGCTAGTTGTTTTTTCTTTTTTATCTTCATCACTATTTACAAAATCAAGTCAGCTTGTCGCCCGTCTGTCTAGGCAACTAACCTTTTCTAAAACCTGAAATAACAGCACTCAAGACACGTGTACGCAGAGAGTTAGCTCTGATTGCAAAACTTCGCTGGAGCTGTCCTCACAAATTAGCAGATAAGGGTTAAACTGAGAGATCAAGGCACATCTAAGATTGCAATTCATGCAGCACTGCAGCTTACATTCATTACTCCAGAAAAGTAGCGATACTAAATAGGTTTGTTATTATTGAGACAGGAATGATAAAAATGTTAAAAAAAACTGTAAGAGATAAAAATGTGAGAGATGGCAGTGCAGATAATGCTATTTTTAAAAGGAAAATCTATTTCAAGAAGTCTGTTGCTAAAATTACTAAATTTAGAAGCCTTAAAAATAGCAATAGTCATTGTTGACTGTCTGTTTTATTCTTCATCATCGGCCTCCTGGAACGAACACGCTCCTCTTGTGATTTATTGGTATTAATCACCAGTTTTACCACAAATCATAGAGCTGAATCATGGAAATTCTCAGAGTAAATGTAGACTGACTTATGTGTAGAAAGGTAAGAAATACTTCATCTTTTTTCTTGATAAGAAAAATCGTCTGTGAATGAATAACGCCAGCTGTTATTGCATAATAAGCAACAGTTATTTCATACTCTATCGAGTTAATTTGAACTATTAAGTGCTCTGAAGTTTTTTGGATGAGCCGTAAATGTACCCACATGTTCCTTTTTGCTTTGTTTTGTTTGTTCGTTTTCATTTTATTTTTCAAAGTTATTTTGAACACTTAGAGACGAAATTGTCATTTCAGATGACAGGCCTGTAGATCCCTCTACAACAGTGTTATTCGCTACAGGTCTTGAACATTCAGTTTATCTCCTTTTTTTACCACATCAACCATCCAGAAACCAAACGGTAATTTTGTAAGATTTTCAGTGGTAATAAGCTTTAGACTTGCATCGTTTATTTTAGGAACGTTAACGCGAATATGCTCCATTAATCGTCGAAGACTGAAAACAATCGACAACTCGTATTTTTCTTTTTTTTCATTTAGAATTAATTTAATTAAAGTTCATTCAAGGGTCGTTAAATGTTTGATAATTTTGTAGCTAGAAAGAAGCAAATTCCGAAGGAGACGAGCATCATTCACAAACTTATAATTAGCTTAGTTGGATCCTGACCTTGCCACATGTTATCTGTGAAATATTTTACATTGTCAATGTCTGATGATGTTTTAGTCCGTGGCAGATGACTGCAAGTCGGAAGATTCAAAAGTTTTTTTTTTTTTTTTT